TCAGTTGAATAAAAACGGGATATCTATGAAAATTGTCCTGGTTACATCATTAGACATTTTAAAAGGCTCACGTCTTGGATATTTCATCCCCTCATCCTTTTTTTTTTTTTTTTTTTTTTTTTCCCTTTTTTTTTTTAACCCTCTCCTCTGGAATCGAAAGAAAGTTATTTTCCTCTCTCGGCCCATTAGCGGCTTAAATGCAGCTAGTCCGGGGGCTTGAGCTCGAGCGTTGATTGCCTTAATTTTGCGAAGCAAGGGACCGAATGAGATCGGTTCGTACAGTCTACGGTTACTGTACGTCCGGGAGCAAAGCATGGCCGTCGCTTGCACCCTTTAAAGCGCACGCGCTTCCAAAAGAGAGACGCGCCGCGCAGAATCCCCGGACCCCGCGACTCCGCCGGGGCCGCCGGCATTAGCGGGTCCCGGGTTAAAGGGGCGCCGGCCTCCCCCAGCCGCCGCGCAGCCCGCCCCGCGGGCGGTTTCAAGCGCCCCCACCCCCAGGCGACCCCGGACGGAAGTCCGCGTCCCCCGCGCGCGCGCCACTCCGGAACCGGCCGGGCCGCCGACCGCGGCCGCAGTGTGAACGGAGCGAGCGCACTCGCTACGCGTTCACTTTACACCTTTAACGGTGTTTAAAGGTAAAGTGTGCTCTCCGTTCCCAAGGTCTCAATTTTGTGTTTTGCGCCAACATGTATTTATTACATTCATCGACCTGTTCTAAAAGTGATTGATTTAGGAATTTCTACTTCCTCAGAAAAGAAGGGCTCGTCCGGGATTTGAACCCGGGACCTCTCGCACCCTAAGCGAGAATCATACCCCTAGACCAACGAGCCGACGAAAGCTCAGCTTGCCGCCATCATAAAGGAAGACAGCACGACTTAGTCCCGCGCCCCCAAAAGGCCGTTTCCGCAATTGTGTTTATAGCCTTCCGTTTTTCTCAACGGAAAGATAATTTCCTATTTTCCTTCTTCCTCTTTTGATCTTTGCAAATCAGTGACACAAAAGAAAACAGCGGTGTCATTACTGATGTAATTTTTACCTCTTATTTTGAAAACTATGATTCTATTTATGTTCATGGCTAATAAATTGCAATGGATGTGTGGCCATGGCGCCGTCGCTGCCAAATTCCAGACTCTCCCCTACTGAGTTCTGGATGTTGCAGTTCCCAATGATAGTGAAATTGCCCATTTCTCGCCTCTACCTTTGATTCTAGGGTTCAAGGCACCACCTTTCAAAGCCTTGTGAATTTCCATCTCTGTGTTTTTATTCAAACTGTCCTCTTCAGCTGGAAAATCTCTTCTCTTTTGGATAAATCCCAAACTCTAACCTTCCCCCAAAAAGATTTTTTAACATATTAAAACCAATTGTATGTGTCTCCTCTAATCATTATTTATTGGAAGACAAGACACCCACTGCAATACTGAAGTCTACTGTATTGTATAATTGGTTATAATTGGGGCCCAATTGTCCCGATATCATTAAGGCATGGCTTCTTCGCTATATTTTAAATTTTAAATACTTGGTGTTGAGGCTTATGCTAGCAAAGCTGGTGCTCAATGAATAATTGCTGAAAGACTGCGATTTTTCCAAATTCCTTACCAATACAAATTTTGGTACTTGGACAATCAACGTGAATTCTCATTCTAGCAAATAACTAACCAGACAGGAAATAACAAAGGGTGACTATCCTAACTCGTTCATCGGTTTATTTATTAATCTGACAGCTCATTCATTCAACAAACATTTAGAAGTACTATGTGCCAGACACCGAATTGTCAACTTCCTTCCTATGGTTTGACACCAGTGAATTATAGTTGTGGAGTTCTAACATTCAGTCCTTGACCTCTTTTTATTGGAAACTGTCCTAACTTGAATCGTTAGTTCTTCTTAGAGCTCAAGGCAAGGAGGCTAAAAATACACTTTAAAATGTTAATTAGTTCTAGATGCCAGAAAAGTTTATTCATCAAATCTAAGTGGAGGAAAAAAAAAAAAATATGTGCCCTGCAAACTTAAGAAGTTTTCCAAGAATGAGGAAACAACAAAACATAGTTTGTTAGGTAAAATAACGTAACTGCTTTGGAATTCTGAAAAGCTCAGTCTCTGCAGTTATTAAGAGGACTCTATCTTCTCTGTTCCTACTTGAATGTACTGGAGTTATTATCATTTTCGGAGTTTTTTTTCTTGCTCCTATTTCTCTCTAGTGATTGGAAAAGAGTTTTGTCTTTTGCTCCGCAGGCTCCGCCAGAGTATCTCATTTGCCTCTGAGAACAATGACGCGGGAAGCCTACCAGTAGCAACACTCTAGCTGTGGCCTAACTCACAGCGAGGAGCACCCCTCCCTCGGTAAGGGGCAGGCCTGTGACCCCTCTCCAGGGCACATGATCCTCTTCTGTGAAGCAAAGCAGTGCCTAGACGGTTGCAGGGCACTGGGAGACAGAGGGTCTCAAGGAACATTTCCCTCCAGTCACCATGAATGAAGAAGTCTGGCGACAGAAGCCTTCTCCTACTGAACAATTCGCCCCTCCAAAGACCCCGGTCGCTCTCGCCACCACAGTTTGGTGCCTCTGCACCCAGGGACACCAGAACTCTAATTTTCAGATTTTTCAAAAATTTCTAGCAAAAACGTAATCCTTCTCCTGGATTAAGATGTTCTTTCTACAGAAATGTTCCTGAAACTGATTTAGCTTCGGGTGAATCTTTCTCGCGTGGCCTGGGACTCACCCTTGACTCTGTCTCATAGTCATCCCTTAATGCTCAAACTCTGGGCGTTCCAGGAACCTCCTGTCACCAGCCACAGATCACAGCATTCCCCTGTCCTCTGGCAACAGATCTTCAAAGACAAGGAGGGAAGGAATGCCAGCGAAAACAGGAGGTGGGAGAAGACTTCTACCTCAGTCTGCAAAGATCTGTTGGAAGTCTTCCCGCCTGTCATGCTCTTCTGCCTTCTCCTGCTAAATCCAGCTCTAGAAAATGCTGCTTCTATCTATTCGTCATCGTCAGATGGCCCGTGAATGCTCCTTATCTTAACTCTATCAAGAGAAGACAGAAAGCCCTGGGATGTTCCCGAAGCAAACCCCTCCTCCTCGGCGCGTTAATTGTGCACTGCACGAACAGGCTGGGTGGCCAGTGGGCCTGTGCACAGGTAACGAAAATCCGGAGCCTCTGCACGAGATTCCCCTTCTCGACGCTGTGGGGGAAATTCTCCCCAGGGAGCCCGTTCCTTTCAGAGGCAGTGGGCCTTTAAAAAGAACCTTTCTGACCTGATCATTAAGTCGTCTTCAAAATCATGTTGCCTGGACGGCTTGAGCTGGAAAGAGGACTTGCAGGAGGTAGAAGGTATCTGAACAGGAGGTTTACTGAGAGCCTCAGGCTGACAATAATGATTGAAATTCGAAGTGTTTGGTTTTTTTTTTTTTTTTCCATTTACTATCCCTACATGAAGGATCAGAAACCACAGTGCAAGGACTTTGGCTAAAACAACCAAAGTCCTTGCACTGTGGTTTCTGATCCTTCATGTAGGGATAGCCTCTCAAGGAGCACTTAGTCTGCCAGTGTAGACAAACGAGTAGTGAACTAAATGTTGAAAGATGCTGGACGAGAATTTTTTCTTTGTAACATCTCTAGATTAACTCACTAAACATTCGTCTAGTCATTCAACAAATATTTATTATCCGCTGATGGTCTGACATTGTTTATTGTATGCTCAGCTTCCACGTCAGCCTTCCGATACTTCCCTGGGCTCCAGACCTAGTTAGCTAACTGCCTTCTGGTTGGCCACTTGGGTGTCCACAGCGCTTTCAGCAGTGTCCAAGGCCCAGCTCGTTAGCTTTCCCGGCAGACCAGGTTCTCCTCCTGGGATTTTAGTCTCGGGAAACTGGTAGCATCACTCTCCGCCCATGCTAGAAGTCGGAGGTCACATCTGTCTCTCTGGATGCTCTTCTCCTGGTTAGACTTCCCATCCGATGTATACCCAGTTCTGTCCTTCCTTTTCTGAGATGTCTCTCCAGTCTTGTCTTTCTCTCCAGCTCCGCTGCCAACGCCTTATTTCGTGCTGCCTTCACTTGTCTGTTGAGCGGTCACCCTTTTAAAACACAGATCTGAACAGGTCACTCCCCCTTCCTCCCCCCCCCCCCCCCCTGAAGAAAGACAACTCAAGGCTCCTTAGAATATGACTGCAGCCAACTTTTCTAGAATTCTCTTTCCTCCCTTTCCCTCATTCCCCTGACAGTCCAAGCCACACGGGATTTACCCATTACGCCTCGCACCTGGTACCGTGTTCCCGTTTCTGACTTTGCTTTTCCTTTTTCCCAATGGGGAACCTGTATTCATCCTCTGAAGTCCACCTAGAATCCCACCTCCCCTGGGCTCCTCCTGGGCCAGACATCACAGTCAGCAGAGAGTCTGTGACTTCGAGAACCACCGTCCTCGTCAGCCTTGGCTTTCCCCTCTACTCGCCCTTCTCGTCCAGCATCTTTTAACATTTAGTTCACTGCTCGTTTGTCTACACTGGCAGACTAAGTGCTCCTTGAGAGGCTAGGTGTCCAACAGCTACAGCACATAGTAGCTACTCGCTTAACGCATCTGGAGTCTTTTCAAGCTGTGACATTTTAGACACACTTCAGAAGCATCTTGCTGAGAGAAAGAGGGCAAAATGGCTGTCATGCTTTTTTAGTTTCCTCTCACTAAAACAAAACAGAACAGAACCTACCCAAGGCCTACCAGCAGGACGGATGAAGGACCCAGGCACGCACCCAGGGGAGTACAGCCCCGGGCCACATGGCGACCGATTCCCAGTGTTCCCAGAAGGTTATAGGGAGGTGAACAGTTCCTAGGGCAGAGTGACACTTGTAGCCGGCGGGCGTGACCACGTTGCCAACGTGAGGTCGTAAAGCAACACGTTACTCCCGGTGTTTGTGGTGACGCTGCTGTAAATAAACACCCTGCCTGCCAGTCACGTAAAAATGCAGCACATATGATTATGTACACTTCGTAATACTTGGTAATGACTGTACACGACTATGTTACTGGTTTATGTATTTAGTATACTTTTTACTGTTGTTTTGGGGTGTACTCTCTCTACTTGTAAAAAACAGTTTGCCGTAAGACAGTGCCGTGTTACCCCGGTAGCCGCACACATCTCGTGTTTACTGTGTCTCTTTTTGCATCGTTTTCTCTCGTGTTTGAGTTGACCTCGGGGTGTTTTGTGCAGTCACCTGCTGTCCAGGCTTGCAGCCCAGGAGCAGTAGGCTGCACCGTAGCCCGGGTGTGCGGTAGGCTGTGTCACCCGGCTCTGTGTGTGTGCACTCAGTGATGTTCGCACGTGATGAAAACGCCCAGAGACGCATTTCTCAGCATGTACCCCATCGTTAAGCAGCAAATGGCTGTATTATGACTTCACCGTCCTGAACTAGCAAAAATACCAGGAAGAGCATCAATAAGATTGCCTTTAGACAAAATCCCGAAATATGAGGTTGCAGATGGTTTCTCCCTCCATGTTCTCCGCTCCCTGAGCAGCTCTGTCCCAGAGCGTGTTCCTCCCCTCCACCAGCCCGGCATCTGGATTTGCCCTCTTCTTCCTTCGCCCTCATCTTTCTCATACTTTTGTCCCTTCTTCTTTCCCTTTCGTAGGCTATTCTCATCGGGACCCTTCCAAACACTTGTCAGCGTTTCCTGGTCAACCAGCGGGAGGCAGACACCATTCTGCATCAAGGTAGCCCAGCTCAGCAGGGTCAGCAGAGGCACTTCAGAGTCAAGGAGAACTTCCCCATCCCAACTTTTATGGACAAACGGAGGGACATTTTGTTTGCAGAAGCGAATCAAACAAAAAACTGCATTCGTGTTCCAGGTAGTAGGCGTTCCCAGTTCCCACCCCTTCTTAATTCAAAACGGGGGCTCCTTTGAGGAGAGTCAGGCAAGATGGAGACCTCTTTTTAAGCTAGATTTCTCAAATTGCAACACATAAATGATGTAATCCAGGCCAAGGACAGGCCTTGGAGACAGGCTAAGGGGAAGTTGTGCTCCATGTGGACCACTGAAAGGAAGTCTCTCTCCGTCGTATCCCACCGTGCTTGAGTTAACCTCAGGGCGTTTTTTCTTTGGGGTGGTTTTTTTTTTTTTTGTAAATAAACTCATTTTTCTTTAGATGAGGCTCACAGAAACCGAGAAGAGCTGAAACAGAGGCGAGGCGAGACAATGAAGAGATCTGCGGGCTGGGACCCTAAGTGAGGCAGAGGGGACAATGGCAGGCGGTCGCGGCGGGGACAGCCGGACGGACAGCCACGCAGGCAGAGGGCTGGGCGGCGGCGGCGGGGTCCCGGGCTGCGGCGCGGGGGTGGGAGCCTGGGCGGGATCTGGAGGGCGTGTCCTCGCCGGAGGAGGGGTGATGGGCAGCCGGCGCTTCCAAT